ATATGACTTTTTATGCCTTAATATACTATCTCTCTCTCAAATTGAATCGAAGGCAACTGGACTTGTATTTGTCTGTGGAAGACGTTTCGCCTCTTATCCAAGTGGCTTCATCAGTTCATCATGTATTGGTCTCTCTAGTCCGCACTAGTCAGACTAGTGCGAAACGTCTTCCACAGACAAATACAAGTCCAGTTGCCTTCGATTCAATTTGAGAGAGAGATAACTATGACCTGGACGAATGAGAACATTCACAGACACTTAATATACTATGTTTTTTTGACGTTTTATGCCACAATAAACTATGACGTTTTTTTGACGTTTTATGCCATACTATACTATGTTGTTTTTATGACTTTATATGCCTTACTATACTATGACTTTTTATGCCTTACTACTATGACGTTTTTATGATTTCTTAAGCCTTACTATACTATGACTTTTTACACCTTACAATACTATAACTTGCCTTTATTATACTATGACATTTTGAAATCTTTTTATGCCTGACTATACCATGACGTTTTCATGACTTGTTATGCCTTACTATGATGTTTTTATGCTTTATTATATTATGACTTTTTTATGCCTATGACGTTTTTATGTCTTACAATAGAATGAATTTTGTTTGCCTTACTAAACTACATCTATGAGTATGACTATATATATGACTTTTTATGCCTTATTATATTATGACATGATTCAGTGGTTAGAACTGTCTCACAGTGAGAAGGTTCCGGGTTCAAATCCTTCTGTTTAGAGTTTGCATGTTCTCCCTGTGCCAGTGTGGATTCTGTCTGGGTACTTCAGCTTCCTCCCGCAGTTCAAGGTCATGCACATTAGGTTAATTGTCGACTCTAATGCCTTACTATACTATAAATTTTTATGCCTTACTTTACTATATATTTCATATATGGAAATTCAACACATGTACATATGTCACATTTGAGTATGGGCTTTCCTGAATTTAAATTCATTTCTGATATGTTATTAAACCATTTGGTTGATGGCATTAAAAAGCCAACCTCTTGGTTATGGAGGGATGGCGGGCTTGTTGCGTCCCTACCAATGTTTAGACCAAACCTACGCCTTTGCAACTCCCTAAGATACAAAGTTGCCGCTTTTGACAAACTGCAACAGGGTCAAATGTTTCAGAGTGTGATTAAATGTGTGGTTGAACGTCCAGAAGGTGGCAGCAAAACAACACACAACTGTCAGTCGTGGTGATGGTTGTGAGTCTAATCAAGTTTTTAACACCGAGGAGCCAACTTCACATCATGCCTCAAACAAAACACTTCACCAGATGCCACACCACAGTACAAATCCGACTTTGATGCTCAATGTCACCGCTTTCTGGAACAAAACAAACAACAGGCTTTTACTCTGGAGGATTGATATGAAAAGAATGCAACACTTTGCATTCAGATGGAGGAATTCCAAAACACAAAAGCAGGAGCACTATGAATATGAATTCTAATATTCTTCTCCAGTGAGAGCTCTTTCACTGCCATAAATACTTTACTCTGTGGCTTAATGTGACTCATCTTTGGGCTCTTTTCCACCCAAGCTTTTGTTGCTTGGTTCACTGCTCAAAAACCGCTTTGATGCCATTCAGCCTTTTATATCGCCACTTCCTCTGTGCAATCCTGGCGCCATGCTTTGTTGTGTTTTCTTCTCCTCCTTACCGAAGAGACACATTACCACAAAAAAAACACACACACACCAGCTAAGTCCCACTGGGCACCGGGGTTTGTCCCTTCAGGATCCATGAATGAGGATGAGCAATGCTGTTACAGTAAACCCTCAAAGTCAAATATTAGGACACATGTTTTGACGAAGACTCCTTTTTAAAAATTTAAAGAAGGCCACAGTGGGAAAACAGGAAGCATAATCACAACCCAGAGCACTCTGGGTACCGTTATCTCTCCAGGTGCTCTGAAAGACTGAGCTAAACATCTAAAAAGGCGCCGGAAAAAACGTCAGCGAAGATTGCAGACCTGCGGTCCCCAAGCACATCAGGGGAACTTCCATTCTATTGTCCACGTAACTGCATTATGTTTCATGTCTGCAGAATATGTAGTGAAAAAACAAGCTCAGTGGATAGATGACTACACTAACACCGCTGGAGTCAAGAGGTTTGACTCCCACATGGTCCACTTACACATGCATGGTAAGTGGTACTCTTTTCCATTCTGTCATGCATTTGTATCATTTTTACAAGAATTGGATTTTCTTACAAATTTTCATTAAAAGTATAGAATAAAATAGAATAGAATCGAATGGAATAGTATAGAATAGGAGCAGCTCAATTTTAAACAGATTTTGATAGGACTTTATCTCCACATATCAAAAAATGGTCCTTCCTGCTGAGAGAAGACGCTGCTCGCCACAGTTTACAGTGAATGAAACCTTCTTGTGGCAAACATGGTGCAGAAAATGCTTATGGTAAACCGCTGATTACGCCAATAAATATTAAACAACAATAAATTACTAAACAACAAGGTATTTGAGATGCAAATGTGTTTTTATAAAATAATAATTTATATTTCAAATCATTGCCTGGCTAGAAATGCCGAAACATTGCTTTCTTCTTATAAAATCACAATGAGGCAGATTGATTATGGGTAATTATATCAATGACACCTCTATTTTTGAGCCTGTGTATGTCACTTAGTCAAGGTATCAAGAATTGCAGACAAACTCTTTGTCAGTTTTATGCATTAGCTACTAATACATATGAACTGACAAAAATAAGTTGATTTTAATCTAGTATACATGTGCCTGAATATCAGCTTAATGTAGTCGTACTGTCTAGATTTGAAGCTGCCCATCGTATAAAGCAAGGCAGATGAAGTGATTAATTCAAGCAGAGGTGGGCGTCTTTTCTTACCTCCCCATCGATGTACTTCTCCAGACAGATGGCGCAGTCGGAGGTGGAGCTGCTGCTCAGTGAATCAGAGGCTCCACAGCTGCTCTCGCGCTGGCCCTTTCCTTTGGCCTTGAACTTGCGCGTCTCCATCTTTTCCAGAGCCTGGATGGCCATTCTGTTCATTGAGCTCTGTGTTGGGGGAGGAAGGTGGGGGACGGGGTCAATGGGAATATCAACATTTAAGATTATAAAAGATAAAAGAGAATTTGATATGAAAGGAAAACAAAATATTAAAGCCAAAATAAGACATGAAAATGACAAAACTGCGTGTGTGCATCAGTGTTGGCAAGCGTTTATGTTTGAACTGTGTTCCTCTTTCCTGATGTTAATGTGACAGTGTCGATGTTGTCATGTTTTGAGCCTTTTCCCTTTGACACAGTACATGATTTTGCAATGTTTGACTGCATTAGCAACTCTGTCTGGCTCTAATTCTCCGGCCTCTTTTCATCTCTAATTTGCTTCGTGCTGCCCTAAAAATGTTACTTATTAAAAAATAGTTGACACATACAGAACTACTTATTGGGATTAAACGTAATGACGCACATGTGTGGCTGCCTTTGTGATTTATAGTAGTCCCCGCCTGAAATGTGAGCGCATCACTTGTGTAAAAGGCAGGAGTTATTTATGCTCAGGCTCAACTAAACCAGGGTCTCTGGAGGGTGTTTCTTCCTTTATGTTGCCTCACAACTAGATAATTGTAGACTTTTTAAGGACATGTGGATATCCTGGTCAGCAAGGGAGCAATGAACTTTGGCATGAAAGTCAATCTCATCACAGGGTTGACAAACATGAAACAAACTTTAAAACCAGTATTTTCAGTATGTAATTAGCTGTACTCTTGTGTGGGCAGACACAAGACACACAAGATTGAGGAATCCTTCACTAAACCCCAAAAGTAATACGATCGGCTTCTCTGAGATGATGTTTGGAACATTTGTCCACTGTTTACAGTTAAAGGTCCCATATGGTAGAAAGTGAGACTTCCATGTCTTGTTTGATTACAGAGCAGGTCTAGGTGCTGTATAAATACTGTTAAAGTATCAAGACGCTCACGCCACAGAGAAATCAACAGGGCGTTGGTTTGATCTCAGCCCTGCCATCCCTCCATAACATAGGGATTTTCACTTTACAATAAGGCTCCCTTTTACCAGTTATAATTAATGATTAATATTAATCATTAGCAAGCATAATTAGTAGTAAGCATTAAGTTATTCTTGCCAGATAGTGAGCCTGCATCAATGCATGAAAACTGTGTTAGAACTTGTTTTTAATTCTTTATGATTTATAAAGCGTTAACAGCTGAATTAATTACCTAATTGTAAACCAATTTATAAATCCTTTAAATTTTACTAAGTGACAGTGGTTGGCCTCGCCGTGCAACACTCAGAAAATAGTCAGCCAATCAAAAGAGAATCTCAGTGGCAGACAAAAAATGCTTTGTTCTTACTAGAGCCCCAGAGACAAGAGTGAGAGAGGAGATGTTGAACTACACTGAGACGGTTTTAGGTACTTAAAACCACAAATATATCTTCTCATGGATATCAAAATGCCAAATAAAACACAGAAAAAGTGGAAAATATGGGGCCTTTTAAATTAGATAAAACAAAATGTTAAAACTGTATGAACAATATTCATTCGACAAGGAGTTCATTAATTTTTCACATTTCAGGAAGGAAGAGGTTTTTCAATGTGACAAATCTGCCCCTGGTGTGAGCTGTTCTCTTAATTAACCACCAAAAGGAAGTCACGACCAAGTCATCCGCTGCTGACACACACCTATTATACACCCACACACTGCTCACAATGTGTACAGTCAACACACACACACACACACACACACTTACTGGCAGGATTACACCTGTCTTAACGGACGCCGCTACAGGTTTTCTGCTCTGTCATGACATCTCTGTGCGTTTGGCTCCAGCAGCCAACCTCTCATCAGTGTTAATTAAATGCTAATCCTGATTCAAGCGCCCGACGTAAGCCTCCACTGAGAGCTTTTTGTCAACACACGAGAGGAATCAATCAGCTGCAGAGCTACTGTCGCCTGACTCGACGGCTGCAACTCCCAGTGAGGCCGTGTCGACTGGAAAAACAAAGCTGTGCGTTTGAGTTTGTTTTTGTGCAAGAGGCGACGCACTGAGTTTGGTCCTATGTGACTCAAAGCGGGACAATAAATAAAGTTTTTCAAGTTGCTGGTTCTCCACACTCCTGCTGATGACGGGCGTGTGTTCAGACACTAACCTGGCTTCTCCGTTGCTTGAGTTTGATCTTGATGAGCAGAATGAGGCAAACCAGCGACACCACCACGAAGAACGCCAGGAAGATGCCCATGTCGAAATATTCCGTGGGCTGCTGCGGAAAAGGAGCGCAAGAGAAACACACATTTGTTAAATAATTTTCACATGCAGCTGATAAAGGAAAAAGGTCATTAAAAGGGTCTTTTTTATTTCCATTCACAGACTGATTGATTATAATTCTGCTCTGCAGACCTCAGTCCTCAGTGGTGTTAGTCATTTCCTCCACTTTATGCTAATAAAAAGAAAATTCTGACCTTCACACATAATTTGATGCTTTCTAAATTAGACACAGGACTGATTTCAATTCATTTTCTTCTCATTGTGTCCATTTATGACCGTCAGTAGTTTATTCAGGTAACTGCCACATATCTTACACTAATGAAACATTTCTCTGAGTAGAACTGAAACGATTAATCAAATAAATCAAGACAAAATTAATTTCAGTCAGTCTTCAAGCGAACACGCTGAACATTACATGGACCTAGTTTCTCAATTGTGAGGATTTACTTCTTTTCCTCAGTTTCATGTTAGTGAGACAAAACAAAACAGAAGAACACTTTGCACATCTGTTTAGCGAGGCAGGTGCGTAGGAGCACGAAGAATGGATCCGAAGTAGCAATTAAAAAATCCTGCATATTGCCTAACTAGCAATCAACAATTTATTTGCCAACAGTCTGGTGCCAGACCTTAATCAGGCAAATGGCCGCTCCCCACATAAAAGAGAAAATAACAATCAACAGACATCAGTTCACTATGTAACACTTTATGACATCATAGAAAAGGGTAGAAGATTAGAAACTATACCTGGACAAAAAAAAAAAAAAAAAGTTCATTCATCACTTTCAGTTCTGGGAAATTGTGATGAGAATCTTTTTCACTACTTTGTGACACATCACACACTAAATGATTCATTGATAAGGATCAGTAGTTGCAGCTCTACAGCACATTTCCAGATTTCAACATCTCTCTCTTTTTCTTGAGAAAGTGACGCAGCACGAGAATTCAGCTTTGTCCAAGCTTGGATATTTTCCGTTAAATTCAGCACTCGTGTCTGAAACTGTGAGAAAAGGTCAGGATGTTTAATTCTCTGTCAGAAACCTTTCTCTTATCAGTTGCTCCTTTCTCATGGGGCTTTCATTATGTCAAGTTATTTGACCTCAAAGTGTATTGGTCTCTTATCGAATATTCTCAGCAAACAAACAGCTCTTTGAATGGCCGATATTAATCTCTCATGGTGCCGCGAAACAGTCCTCGGCCTCGGGGCAGCGGAGAGCACAGAAGAAAGGGAAAGGGTCAGATTTCACAGCTGGAATTTTCGTTTGTCTTCACATCTAAAACTCCTCAGCACTGTTTGGTGCATGGGCTTCACAAACATGTTCCTCACATCTGCTTTAGAGTCGCTTCACACGCACACACACGCACACGCACACACACACACACACACACACACACACACACACACACACAGATGCACGTCAACTAATCAGGAGTGGCTTTTGGGTTTTGGCGAGAGCTCTTACCCTTGGTGGTCTGTGTTGTATCCGAGCACGAGCCACTTTCTGCTTGTTGACGATGTTCATCAGCTTCACAGCATCGTTGCCCTTCACGTAAACCACCGGCCGCTTCAGAGGATCCTCGGCCACCTGGTTGAGCTGCGGAGACGAGACAGAGGAAAATGCATCAAACACAATATACAACAAAATCAAACTCATTAGTCTGGGCAATAATGGCCTTCCATTAAAAGGGTCTCAACACTAATTTTACACATTAAATTAACAGCTGTAAGAAAAATAACAGAACAGAACTATATTTTTTCCTTGTTTCTTTTCCTTCCAATCATCACGACTGCTCAGGTTTATCCTCTGAGGTTGGTACCACTGCACCAGCGTGTGATTTTTGACCATAACGTATTAGGATTCTACTGTTATGAATTTTTGAAAACTGATCCTGACACTGACAGTTTTATATTTAAGTTGTCTCTAAGCGTTGGCTTTCAATACGTTTCAATATGAAAACTTTCAGTATTTTCGCCAGAATCTAAAGATGAGGCTGAAACAGCGTTCATGAACTGTTTTCTATAACCTCCCTAAAGTCAGAGTAACCCACGCACACATTCATCTGCTCGAATGTAAAAAAAAAAACTTGTAATTCATCGACGCACTCGAGGCACAATTTGTGAAAATATATGTGCTTTTTGGATTCAAATGCAAACTAGAGAGAAAAATGTAATATAGATCTTTAATATCGCATGGCCGACACAAACATGTTTCCTAAAAGCCGTCATCATGATGTCAAAGACTGACGCATGTGTGTCAGCTGTGCAATATTAAAGCTTTTTATTAAACACAGGACCAACAGTGCCTTGGATTTTTCTCATTCACAACTGACTGACACATGTAATGCGTGGTGAGGTCTCACAAGCAGACACTGTACTTAAGGCACAAAGTTTAGGAGCTACTGACCCTAATGGATGTGAACTGAATGTAAAAAGAAAAAAAAAAAGAAAAAAGAAAAGCCAAAAGCATTTAAACTCTTCTTTTACCAACTGGGGGGAGAATGACCTGTAGTCTCAAGACATGGAAAGTGTGGTCACAGTTTGCCAGAGGGAGCAGAGGGAGGAAATAGTCAATGAATAGCATGTTCTGGCTTTCGAGTCAGTTGACACACACTCCTTTACTCCTCCTCTCCCTCTCCGTTCTCCCCTCTCGTCTGCTGGTCGGAATCTGTAATTTGAAAAGCCCAAGGGAAATACCGAGGATATTCGCATTTCTATTTCTTCTGCTGTCGTCATGTTCCCCAGTGAAATACTGTATGTTCTGGTTTGAAAGTATAGACGCTGCAACCTTTGATCTCCTTGCTTGATTCTGGTGTGCTGCTCCCGCTCTGAGAAATGACTCCACTGAGACTCTAGCTCGGCCTCTGACGAACAATACACCAATAAAAAGTATACCAATAAATGCAAGCAGAAAGTGGGAGGAAAGAAAAAAACAACACTTGTTTAATCACAAATTAACTTTTCCCTTAACAGGAAAAAAAAAGTGTCAGAGCCACTTGCTGCACTTGGCCTCACATTAAAAGGAGGTCAAGTACATTAAATCTCTCCTAATTTTGGCCCCCAGGACCTTAATTCTCCCTAAGCTCCTCCCTCCCTGCCCCTCGGCCTTGTGGGTCCTGTCTCTGCTGATCGGGCCGCTCTGACTGGAAAAGCCTCTCGGGGGAATTTAACACAGCCGCCCAGTGCTGCCTTTCATGTGGTCTCTGCGCAATCCCTTTTATCTCTCAGCTACGCGCTTTACGACCCAGCGGCAGAGAAGAAGAGGCCAGGAGGGAAGAAAAAAAAAAAAAAAAAGAAAAACCTGCAAGTCCAGGCCTGGCGTGGCGAGGATGAATACCACAGGAGAATTCTTGCGACAAAAGGCGCTCAGAGGAGCAACTCGTGTATTTTACCTCTGAACAGAAAAGACACAGGAGTCAGAGGCAGGAATGCGAGTGTGTGGATGTGTGTGTGACGAGGAATACACTTTGTTCTCACTGTAGCACTCAAAAACACATCCATAGTCTAAGGGGATGAGGTAATGTGCGCTACCTGTGCAATTATGAGCTCAACAGAGTTTTGGTCATGGTCTAGTGAAAGCTGAACCTGGATATCCATTTTCAGACCTCTCACAGTGCAGCGCGCTCCTCCAAACACAAGTTAGAGAGCTCAAAGGCCCAGGATGGTTGAATGAGCAAGGCTGATCCACATGCTTTTGAACAGAACTAAAGATAGAAAGATCATTGTCTGTACAAACAGCACACACACACACACACACACACACACACACACACACACACACACACACACTGCCAGTCAGAAGGGCAGGGCATGCTGCTGAGCTTTATTCAGAAGTGAAAAGCGAAGCGTCTTTCACAGACGGACCGAGACAGATTAAGACCATTTCAGTGTCGTAGTGAGCGCGAACGCCCGGGTAATTTTAGGTGTGTACAAACCTGGTCGATGGCATCTGGATTCTCTGACACGTCGAAGATGACGGCTGTGGCTCCACGCTGCACCGCTCGCTTCGCCTGCAAACACAGGAAACGCAAAGAAATGATTAGGAAAAGGTTGGGAAAAAGGAGAAATAGGGCCAGAGGATGTCCGATCACACTGTCAAACTGCAGTTTGTCCCAACCTTACCAAGATTTTAAGTTTTCACATTCAAATTCAGGCCACTAGAGGGAGTTCTCTGCCCACACACGTCATGTGGGAAGTGCAAGTAAGAAAGGGAAGGGAGAGAAAACCAACAGGCGAGAAGTAAACAAGCCACTGATAACATTTGTTAGGATGCACATGTGGTCTCTCGCTCTCCATTACTTTGAAGTGAATCCGCACCACATTAAGCTAATACAGTCTGTCAGACACCGAATCAAGGAGTAAAGCTCGCACAGCTCCACGTGACGCAAAAAAACTGTGCACGGCACCAGGCTGAATTGGAATCGCAATGTGCCGTGCACGCTCAGAGAAAGTTGAATAAAGTTATCAAGGATTTCCAACTGCTAAAAATGTGAGCGTCTTTCATCTGAGAGGAGAGAAAGTCGCAGCAGAGAGGTCTTTTGAAGACTTCTGCTAAAGGCAAAAGATAAAGGAAATGCTTGGATCTGCAGAACCCCAAGTATCTCTTCGCAGAATCCAAATTGGCTTCCTCTCGTCAGGAAAAGAAAAAAAGTTCCTTTATCTTAACTCCTGCTTTCCCCTACAACCCATTCTCACCCCACTCGATTCAACGGTGCCCTATTTAGACAACGTTTTGATGTCTGCACTACATGATCTAAAAGAGCGCTGCTGGGATCATATCCTGGTATTATCAAGTGCCCTTGGGTTCTTGCCAGCTCTCTTCATTACTGGAGGGAAGGAGGGGGGGGGGGGGGTGAAGATCAAAGTGACAGTGTACAGTGCTGTGACTCTGCTGCCGAGTGGCTGGAGAGTGTCACCGCTCCAGTCTGCAGGAACTTCACACAGGACAGAGGGAGGAGATTGGGGAGAGGAGGTATGTGTGCAAAAAAATTTGCTCCTCTCACAACACAGCATGTTGATTTCTGAGGTAACGACACTCAACAATAAGGAAAGGAAAAGTTTCTGTTGTCACCCCTGTGTGCAGCACAGTACACACAGACAGGGGACACATTCAAAAAAAATGTTGGACTTCAACAAGACTTAAAGACAGCTTCAGTAATTCTACAGGAGCGATGGACACCGTCCTCTAAACGATATCCCTTCGTCAGTGGTGTTAAGAGAGTGACGTCTGAGATCTGAGACTGACAAAGCTGTAACATATCAAGTCATTTCCGCACTCTTCAAACCCTTCAGCGACTCCTTGTATGAAAGAATCTCCATTCCCTGTGTTTTCCTGCGTATTCAAGCTTTGTTGTCCAGGACTTTCAATTTCTTTTTTTGACCGACCGACCGACAGACCAAAACCCAAACCTAAAATATATAACATACATACAAACATAAAGTAGCAAATGTTTGTAATATTCACCTTTGAAGAAGTCAGTCGAAATCATTATCAATAAAAAATCTGATGTATTTAATAAGCTTGGAGGTTTATTTTGAAGTATGTTGCAGCTCTGTTAGTTCGTTTCCTGCCGCTTTAAACCTCATGTCTTGTGTAGCTGATGAATACTGTGGCATCCAGTGACATATTGTGTAACTGGAATTGTGACATTAGGTGAGATTTCCTTTTCCGTAGGGTTCCTGGCATTCTTTCCCTACTTCCTGTGCGTGTTATGAGTCTTAGAAAGAGGTTAATGATTACCTATAGCTCTCTAAGAAGTAAGCATGTGTAGCTAAAGTCAGTCTGGATTCAACTATACCAACATTTGTCTACTCAACAAACATGACATTCCTCTGCCGAAGCAAGAGAGAGAAGCAGAGGTATTTGCGTTCTCCAGAGTAACTAACAGAGTCAATAATCACACTAAATCTAGAAGATATGTCATTTTTACAACACATGTGTGGGCCAGTGTGGGTCTTCTTCACTGCAGGTACCTGTGGTGGGGCAAGTTGCAGCAGGAGGGAAAACAGAAGCAAAGTCGCGAAAGGCCTTTGATATGAAAGAGGTGGCATATGTAGCACGTTCAACTGCGAGTGTAAATCAGCAGCAGGAAAATGGAAACACATCGTGACTCTTAGGTCTACCAGCTACATCTCAATTAGATTTCCCTTTGGTTTAATCCACAGACAAGATGTTTATGAATCTGGCTTTCATAGCTCATTAAAGACTAATTAACCCTGCAAACGGAGTGAATGAAAGCCTTATCAAAACACTGAAAACATTCAAAACGGAGTCGCGCTATAAATACAAGCTTTTCCAACTTTCCCTCTTTCGTCCTGCCTCCTTTACATAAACCAACGTCGCTCGTTTCTCCCTCTCTCCTCACTTTTGTACTTGGAAAGTTCAAAAGCGAGCAGAGCGAAATCTCGCTCAGCTTTTCCCTCTCACCCAGTTTTCTCTCAGCTCCACACTGCCAGGCTCCAGCCCCCATTTAATTCAGCACAAGTCTGCTCCTTTGATGTTAGCTCTCCCAGTTAATAATTAATAGCTCTTGGTAAGACGCTTTGAGAAGAAAGAGATCTTCCTCCTAAAGAATCTCCACTCGGGCAGGCCCACGCTGCAGTGCAGGGACTTGCCTGACGACAACAAAAATGCACCCACAGGCAAACGGGCTGTCTTAAAAACCATGACACATCTCCTTCCCAAGCCCATAAAAGACTACAACCTCGGACACCAAAGGAAGGATACATATTTCTTGCTTTATGACAATTTTTTTCTCTCTCTCTCTCAGGACTTTGTCATGTTGCTAAAAAACCAAACCCTTCAGTGAGGAAATACTTGACTGAGTCAAACTGGCTATAGAATTTCAAGTGGCAAAGTTCCTGTGTAAGGAGATATTGTGAAAGCAATTTGAGACAGAGTTCGGTCCTCTGCTGCAAACCGCTCAGAAAGACGAAAAACGCTGGGAAACGCATGCTTTCATTCATACAAGTGTCATTGCGGCCGAACGGGAGTTGTAAGGTCCGTTTATTAAGCTCATCAAGGTGACATCGAGGCAAGATGACATTCTGATCTTCCCGTTCATCATCACAGATGAGTTTAAGACACGCAGATGTTATCATATCATTTGAAGATATTTAAAGGATCAATGCTTTGTGTTGCGATAAGGCATCGACTCAGAAACTGATCCAAACTCACTGTTCCTTTAAAGTACCTATTCTTTGGGTATTGCCATTTTTCTCCTTTTACTCCACTGCATTTATGAAGCTACAGTTAGTAGTTACTTTTAAAATGAAACGAAAAAGATAATTATCCATCAGTAAACCAGTGATTCCCAACCTTTTTGGCCCCTTACACAAAAAAAAAAAAAAAGTGTCAGAGTCAAGGGAGGGCCCCTTTCATGTTTCGGATCAGTGATTCCACCAAAGAGACATTTCCCCTCTAAACTTTTCAGATGGTTTCATTTAAATAAACATTTTTAGATCCTAAATCAAATATTTCACTAATAAGCAAAGAGTTCTCAGCGTTTTCATGAATCATCTCTTTAACTCGTGACCCTTTGAAGGCGGCTGACCCCGAGGTTAGGAAACACTGGACTGGTTAGTAGATAAAACTACAACTTGACCATATACATAACAGTGAAATACTACATGTGGATTGATGCATCAGTTACATGAGTTACTGAGGACTTTTACTGCAGAATAAGTACGTTCACATTTGATACTTGCAGGACTTTTTTAGCAGGATCTGAGGACTTCTCCCACCACTGTATATAAATAGGAATAAGACAATCAATCAACAACTCCTACAAAGCCACTACTCATCCACTTTCAGTTCATAAGATCTGAACTTTATACAACTTTCCTATGACAATAAATCCAGCTTCAATCTTTAAGAAAAAGTGAAAGTAAGAGATAAACTGCAGGAGCGGACAAACAGGAAGAAGCAACAAAAAGAGCACTGCTAATATTCTTCTCAAAGTTGAAAACATGATCTGTGGTCCCAGATGTGAGCGCTTGATCAGTCATCCATGCTCAAAAAAAAAAAAAAAATCAGCTAAACTCTCATCCTGAGCCGCGCGCTGGAGGGGGGAGTTTCACAGGTACTTCACAATACTGCTGGCTAAACAAACTTCCCGCTGGCTCGGTGGCATGAGAATTAGGGTACAATCTTCCCTGAGCGAACAAAAAACCGCAGCAGAAAGTACTGAGAAGCCAGTCTAGACACAGAGGAAAATGAAAGCTATGTTTAGCATCCCTAAGTAAGCCTGCCAGCTTGTAAGATCTGAGGGAGAGAAATTTTTCACTCGTCTGGAAAGAGACTTTTTCTCAGCGAAGCGCTCACTCCATCATATACATACACTGAGGATTTTCATATCCACACACACACACACACACACACACACACACACACACACACACACGGCTGCCAAACAATGCATGTGTAAATATGTGCAGATATTTATGTACAACAGACAGCTATGTGCTCACGTGCAAACAGACACACACCTGGATTACACCTGCAACATCTGGCCGCATAAACATGCACCACCTATCACATCGTTCCCTCTTTCTCTCCTACTTTCTCCTCCTCTGGTTCCCTCCTTTCTCTTTCCTCCTCCTCCTCTACATGCTTCTCTCTCTCTCTCTCTCTCTCTCTCTCTCTGCACTGCTATAATTAAGGCAATTAAGTCTTCAGAAGACTCTCCACTGCCATTATGCTGTAATTTCATGTTGCCTCCTGGCTTTACAGTTTATTAAAAGATAAAGGCATAGTTTTCTCCCATTGATTTCCTTATATGTGGTTGCCCCCCCCCCCCGCACACACACACACACACACACACACACCCCGTCCCTCCTCGCTCGCTCTCAGAGGAGGCATGTGCTCCAAAACATTATTTACATTCAACTAAAATGAAATCTAAGTTTTCAACGTGGCTGCGCGTCATCTGATTGGACGCCTGCGCAGCGCCGAGGCGGAAGAGAATACTACGTTTCTTCCTGTGAATAAAGCACCTTTGCACGTGCAATCATCCGTGCGATCTTGACGTTTTCATTACAACGGGATTTAATCATTTCCTCCCTCCCCGTTCATCGAGCGCATTACTCAACGGCTTCCCGGGCTACCTGCCGTTTGATGTTAACACTTCGCTGACAAACTGCTAATCTGTCACAACATGTTATTCAGTTTACAGATACCTGACATGTTCATGTTGGCCGTGTGACATGTAATCAACTGGTTTGACGCTCTGGTCGTGCTGGATTTGTTATCTGCTGTGTCACGACAACACGCAAAATAAGAACTTCCCTGTTCCCACAGGCACATAAATACTATCCTGAAACCGTTTACAAGGGCACAGTGTGAACTCAAATAACCTCTGCGAGCTTAATCCTGCCAATAACTTAGTTTCATGAATCCCCTTACACTCATATTTAAGGTTTAGACTCATGGCCATGAAATTTCACTCCTACATTACAGATTAAAAAGAGGTGACTGTGTAGTTCCTCAGAGTTTTAAACAAGTCATTGTTCAGTTTCTCCCTCCGCCTTCCCAAACTTTTGAACTCTCCCTGTTTGATATTCATTTGAATGCTGTTAAAAAACCCCCGGCTGCAGCACTTTTTTTTCTTTTCTTTTTTACGGGCGTCCCAGGACGTCTGAGGAACTGTTTCTCGAGCTGCATGAAAAATGTTTTACGGAGCACATAAAAAAAAATCCACTTGTGTGTCACACCGGCGGCGGAGAGGAGCCCCGGCGAGCCTCCTCGAGCTCCTCTCCATCTCACCGCCTTCGTATAAACGGGCAGTTTACTCAACGTAAACACGCAGGGGAAAGAATCACTTGAAGCACTCAGTGAGCTCACTGACTGCCATTAATATCAGACTTGCAGATAAGACGTCGGGTCAGGAAGTGAACGCGAACCTGTTTATCGTGTCTCGGCGCTGATCTCAGATCA